TCACAGGCCTTTTTATAAGTCTGCTGAAAGCCTTGTGTCTTCTGCCCGGACAAATACACAGAGACACAGGATGGTGTAAAATTTCCCTGGGTTCACAGGCCATCTAAAGCCCATATGGTTCCCCTTAGGCTAGGAAGCCCTGTTTCATACAATGAGCCTCATGATTCCTTCTGCTAGGGATGTCTATTACACCATACGATATAAGAAGCAAAGTGTGACAAAAAGTGAACCTCTGAGAATCTGATTGAAGACATATGTAATGAAAGATTTAAAGACTTTTAAGTTTTAAAAATCTTAATGGAATACTTGCCGTCTTCACACATAAGTCATAACAATAAGCTAACTAATCATACACATGGTACTTACTTGTCCAACCACTTCCGAATTTGAGCTAAAATCAGGGCTCGATGATGAATAACTTCTAAGTTTCCCCTTGGCATCTTAAAATAAATAAATCAAATCAATAACATTTTTAATTAAATAGAAAAAAATTTAAATACCCAGGATATACAACTTTACCTAACTCTTCTTAGAGAACTAACACAACACTGTCAAATGAGCATACTTCTGGCAAAATTTAGTTGTGTTCAAAATTTATTTTGACTTTTAAGAGAAGTTTCCCTCTTAGCCTTACTGGGCAGAGCCTGTATTAACATTCCTTTGTATAAAGCTAACAGAGAACTTAGCAAGGAAAGGCTTATAATAAATTAATACAAATGGTAAGAGAGCCTAAAATATAATCCACAAGAATTCTGTTTGGTATTTACTGCCAAATGACTATCAGAAATATAGCCTGAAAAATCAGCTTACCTGTAATATAAGCTTTGTGTCCTGGGGCACAACAGTGACAATGCATGAACCCCTCTCCACTTTCCGCAGAGATTCCCCATTAGACACAGGACAAGCCACTCTCCATTAACTGCAGCTGAAACTGCACATTATCCAAAGTAGAAGGAAGCAATTAACAACTAAGCCACACTGCTCTCTCACTCAGCCTCAAGACCATTAGCCCCTCTGATAAACAACCTTATCCCAGAATCTTGTGCTCTCTCACAGAGCCCTCATGCACATGCCCATACACAACTTCTCAACTGATATGGAAAACACAGGGAGGGTTGGGCAGCTTCTCTCTGTCTTCTTGTACTGATAAAGCTATGATCGTATCAGTGAAAGATTCCCTGTTTCCAAGTTATCAATAGAAGCAAAGAAAATAAGTGGGCTATTTTTATTTTCATAAGAAAATTGTGTGCATGCACACACATACACACTAGGGGGGCATGGAACACAGAAAAAAGTGTGGCCGATTTCCTACGAACCATGAGATGGAGTCCTTCAGATATACAATAGAGGGTTGCCACAGTGAGAAAAGAAAGATTACAAAGAAGATTGAGCATATTGCCAGTTTGGTGCCTACATGGTAATTCAAAGTAAAATATTAGTTATATTAAAAAATTTCCTGAAAATTTTTGTTTACCTTAGGATGTGCTGCTTAAGGAAGGACCTCCTTCTCTTTGCTAACTGGTGTGGAGTGATTCAACTGAGATATTATGTTGAGATTAGGGGCTAAGTAAATGAACTTGAAAAGTTTTCTCCAGTCTAGGACTCCATGATAAACAGCAACAAATTGTATGCAACAATCTTAAGTCATCAAGACTTCAAAGGACAAATGATATTACAGCAGGGACTATTTTCTATTTCATACGCTGAAAAGTTACTTTTCAATGAAGCATCTCTCAGGCAAAAACAGTGGCAAGTATGGGAATGAGTTGTTAACAATAAAAACTCACCATATACTGCAAATGATGTGATATTTGAAGCAACCTACAAAAGGTCGGGGAGGCAAAGGGGAGAGTTAGCTATATTACCTGGAGCCAAGACTGAGAAAGATCCAGTGTCAGAACAAGCCTTGATACCTCAGTGTCACTGATGAAAAAGCGACATCTGTCAGTCAGGCCAAGGACAAAGAAATAAAATATGAAATTACAAACAATTCTAACCAAACTAGTTAAACCAAACTCTTCTATTACATGGTTCCATTGCCCTATGATTTCACATCTAGGTCCTTGCAATGGGGACTTAAGATGCCTAAGATGTGGTTGGTCTAGTGCAAAGTGGACTATGGCGCATCCAGTGCATCAGCAAGCCCTGCCATTTCTATCTCCTACGCATGTCTCAAACATATCACCTTTCGGCCCTCACTGCCTCCAGTCACAGCCACTTCAACTCTCATCCCTTTCGACCTACTCTCTACTGGGCAGCCAGAATAACCTTTCAAACCATGAAGCACATCACACTACTCCCTGATTAAAATCATCAGTTTCCCAATCTATGTTAAATGAGCAAAGCCACACTCCTTCCCATGGCCTATCACTAAGGTCTAGCCACTGCTTCCATTAGGTTCCTTGAATAAGCTGAGCTCTTTCTAAGCTCACAGTAGGTACAGTTCCTCCTCCCTGGAACACTCTCCCTTTCTCAGAGATAGAGCTTTCTTTTTCTTCACACTCAGCACATACACCACCACCTCCTAGAGGCTTTCCCAGACCACCAAAAGTTGGTCTCCCCATCCTCACAGCTACCATCCTCTAACTAGCCTCAAACACTTCTCTATTCTCTACCATTACGCCCTGCTCATTTACTTCATTCTCCTATCAGAAGGGACAGCCATACCCGTATTGATAGATTAAAAATTCCAGAAGGGCAGGAATTAGTCAGCTGTTTGGTTTTGTAACCACTGTGTCCTACCACCTGCCACAATTATAGGCATTCTAATATTTGATGAATGATAACCTACTGATTACTAGTTTCAAGATTACATTTCTGTTGTCCCCAAAAGTTACTTATAAAACTAACTTTGAATGTTTTGTACAACTGGAGATAAATGTCTGCCAGTTGCATTTTTCTATTTTTGAATTTATACTTCCAAGGAAAGGAATCAACTAACTACTACATGCCAGGCAATCTCTTAATCCCATTTCAGAGATTGAGAGGCTGAGACTCAGGAAACTTCTCATTGTTGACAGTGAGTAACTTCTCATTGTTGCCTTGAGATTTAGTGGACACTCAGGTCCACCTCCAAAGCACACACTCTTTCTACTTAATGCTATCACTTTCTGGGTCACTGCTCTAAGTGGTAAGTTTTTCTGCCTTGTGTTTACTTACCTCTCCTCCAATCATGGCCAATTCGGTCTGTGCGCACAGATAAGGAAATCGAACAGGAAATTCAGCAGGGTTCTTCCACGGTTCAACAGCCAGAGAGGGTGATTCTGCAGGATTGGCAGATGAGGTTTACCAAGAGCTGATCTGCTCTTTTTAAAAAAAAAAAAAAAAGTTACACTAATACTTGCTAAAATGCTTAACATGCAATTTAAATCGCTTTCCAAATGTGTTTCAGAAACTCATTAAAGTACTCCAGTTCATTACAAGAGAAAATACAGGGAGAACACACCTGCTAATTCCACTCTATAGATTAGGGATAGTTTTTCAGGGTAGTTAAAAGACCTAATAACCACCGCAGCACTGATAAGATACAAGTATATGTGCTCAAGAATTAAATATCTACGTAAGCCATAGACATGCTTTCCTAACATTTTGATACTCACCCCAAAGGTACTTAATTATCTGACCACCAGCCACCTGCAGTGCTACTGGCTTGGTCTTGGAGTTGCAGCACAGATGGATTATGACCCCATCCACTGCCACAGATGAACTGACAAGAGTAAAAAAAAAAAGGAAATGAGGAAGGCTTGAACAGACCATTTTTCTCAAAAGTACTGACATTTCATTGATTTTGCAAAACAGAAAATGATATAATTTTCCTTTGGTGCTGCACTGCCTATTTCAATATAACATAAATATAATAAATGCACACCCATATGTATATACACACTAATAGATAAACTATTGCAAGCGCAAGCCCAAGTAAAGCAATTACCTGTCACATGACATTATTTTCCACAATGTCAATAAACTAGGTGTCTACATTGTGAGGTCATCACTCCTATTCTGGCAGAAACTTTATGTAACTTATTGCAACTTATTTCAATTTACTGCATTAAATAAAGCAGTGAATCTGTAGGAAAGTGAGCACACTTAATACCTCTACTGCTATTATGTTCATTCATAGAAATCTGTGGGTCTCCCTTAATGGGAAGAGGGGAATCTGTTATTGCCATTTTAGTTTTTCCTGAGTCAACGAACCAAGAGTAGACATGTCTTAAAGGAAGTGGAAGAGGTACGATAAAAGCAAATGGTGCCAATGCTAACATTTATTCAAAGAGTTCTTAACAAATCTACAAAAAACTCCAAAATGCCACAAATTTGGGGAGGATAAATTATCTGACAAGTTAAGGGAATAGACTCTGGAGGTGCAATGGCTAGAATTGGATCCTGGCTCCACCTGCGTTATCTCAGGCAAGTTACTTAAACTGCTCTGTGCCTCAGCTGCCTCAGCTGTACAATGAGGGCGCCAAACAGTACATACTTCAGAGAGGTATTGTGAGAAATAAGTGAGTTAATATAGGAAATGCACTTAAAAGAGTACCTTTTACAAAGCACAAGCTATAGTAAATGTAAGCTATAAGCTGATTGGGGGACTACATATCCATCAAAGACATTAACATTTTGCATGGACAAAACAGTCTTTTTTGAGAAACAAAAGTCAAAGCAGCAGAAATATATTTTAAATGACTTCTCACTTCCTTTACAGCAAATGAGATGACGGCATCTACCTTTTACAAGATAATGATAAAAAAAAACTTCAAATTTGGAGTAGTAGAAACATGCATAATTTAGGCATTTCTAATGTAAATTGCTCTGTTTTCCAAAGGAAGCCCTGTTAAGTCTGCATGCAGCTAGCACATATTCTGCATCCAGACATATTGACAAAACCTTCTTAAAAATATGAAGCATTATTGGGATTTCCCTGGTGGTCCAGTGGTTAAGACTCCACACTCCCAATGCAGGGAGCCCAGGTTCAATCCCTGGTTGGGGAACTAGATACCGCATGCCACAACTAGAAAAGATCCTGTGTGCCGCAACTAAGACCTGGCGCAGCCAAAATAAATCAAAAATAAATACTTTTTAAAAACATGAAGCATTATCATTCAAAGATTAGAAGTTAATGACTGCATTTGGAATATGCTTTATGTATACAATAAAGAGAGGTTCCTAATTTTGCAACAACGGTTTTCAGAATTTCAAGCTAACCAGTAGACCTTTAATTACATGTGAATCTGGGGATTACTATCAATGTATGCCTAAGGTGCCGAGTTTTGACACTGGAAACCTGAGGATTTCTCGGAGCTGTCCAGACAACGCTATCTGCTGCACAATAGGGCTTGTAATACAGAAAACAGCATTCATTGATGAAACCTGTTACGTGACAAAGATGCAGTCAGGAATCAAAATGAAACTCAGGGCCAGGGAGCTATGAAATTTTAGCAAAGAAAAATAGAAGAGGCTTTCTAGTAATAAATGCAATCAAGTGCCAAACAAAATGTATAGGAGGCCGGAAGAAGTATTTTGAAGTCACTAAATCAAAATGAAGTGCATATATATAGATCTCATAATTGATTTTAATAACTAACAAGGGTAATTAGAGTGGCTAATTCTCATAGGCTAATAATTACTCTGCTGGAATGTAAGTATAAGCTGAATTAAAATTCTTAACACACCTTAAAAATGTTTTGCCTCATCTATTGGTATTTGTGCTATTTTTCACCAATTCTTGATGCATTTTAATCTATATTTTGACATGACTAAAAACTAGACTTAACCCTCTTGCTAAGTATGTCTAAAAAGGAAGCCACTGCCCCTCAACTCTGCTCAGTGGAAGTAAAAAACAAAAATAAAGTCCTAGGCTCATAAAAGACAGAAGCCTAACTCTATCCACATATTAACACATGGAATACAGGGAATTGTTGGAATGCCTAATATTGAGCTGTCCCTGCTTGTTATCCATCTCAGAAGGGGCCACAGTCAGATGGTGAATGACAGAGCTTGGGGTGGACTGACTGTGGCTCACAGCCAGGAAAACGTCTTCCTGAACCCAGGTGAGAAGGCTGAGCTTCAGTGGGTTTACTTCTTCATCTTCACTCTTCTCAAACTGAATTCTGTTTTAAATATTGAAGAATTTTCAAAACATGAGTAAGACTTCAACATCACCGAGATTTTCCTGAATGAAGAATGAACCACTTTATATACAGTCAACTCCTTATTTGGAGGGACAAAACCTGAGGTAATGCCCAATACTAGAAAATCCAAAAATAATGTTTGCCTTGCTTAAGAATATGTTTTTCTAGTATTTAAAATTAAGTACCTTATACTCTGAGATCTTTCGATTTGAAGAGAACATTTCAAGAAACTGACTACAGAAGAAAAACTGACTGCCCCAGGTCCTACACTAATAAACCCCAGGAGTGTTCCATTGTTACCACTTACCAGCATTCAAACCAGGCTCCAGAAGACATTTAGGCCTCAGTTGAATGGATCCTTTCCTAAGCATCTCATATCAAAATGAGTAATTAGTTTGGGAGATGACTTCTTTGCCGCTAATGCCTTCCTCCTGTAGCATTCAGACACTGGAGGAGGGCCTGTTTTTACTACTTCACGCGGCAACTCACAATGGCTACTTCCTGCCTTTCAGCTCAAGCAGCAGATCCTCAGCGGGCACTGAAGAAGCTGAGACACTAGTCTGATCTTCCTATTCAACCAGCTCTCCCTGGACTCAGTCTCTCCACTACATTCAGCCCCACACAGGAGCATTCCTGCCTCGGGTTCTCACTGACACTCTTCTGCCCACCACACCCAACATTCTCAATCCTTCTCTGGCAATCCTAAACCTCTCTCTTTTTCAAAGTTCAAGGTAATTTATTTATGCCCTTCATGAAATCTTCTCTAAATGACTTAGAGCTATGCTTCTCACAATCTTTTAAAACATGAAACTATATTCTCAATTGCCTCACACTTTCTAGTTTGCCTTAAATCTGTCCTCTAAACTTTCAAGTCTGTGAAATGAAATAATCCATGTACATGCTCTTTGAAAAATTACTAAGCATTATACAGACAGCTCCCAAATCATACACAGGTAGGAAATATATTCATTTATTAAATATATTGCATATAATGACATTTAAGAAACATATTATTTGTTATATTCAGTTATTGGCTCATTATTCCCATTAATTTAGAAATAAATGTTCCCAGGAGACAAAGTAGTGCAGTAATTAAGAACATGGGCTTGGAGGGGGGAAGCTTCAGAGCCACGGAGGACAGCGCAGCAACAGGGGTGCGGAGGGCAAAGTGGAGAGATTCCCTCACGGAGGATGGGTGCCGGCCAGCACTCACCAGCCTGCGAGGCTTGTCTGCTCACCCACCAGGGCGGGTGGGGGCTGGGAGCTGAGGCTCCAGCTTCGGAGGTCGGATCTCAGGGAGAGGACTGGGGTTGGCTGCATGAACACAGCCTGAAGGGGGCTAGTGCACCACAGCTAGGCGGGAGTGTGCCCGGGGACAAGGTCTGGAGCTGCCGAAGAGGCAAGAGACTTTTTCTTGCCTCTTTATTTCACGGTGCACGAGGAGAGGGGATTAAGAGCACCACCTGAAGGAGCTCCAGAGATGGGCACAAGCCACAGCTATCAGCGAGGAACCCAGAGATGGGCATGAAATGCTAAGGCTGCTGCTGCAGCCACCAAGAAGCCTGTGTGCAAGCACAGGTCACTATCCACACCTCCCCTCCCAGGAGCCTGTGTAACCCGCCACTGTCAGGGTTCCGTGATCCACGGACAACTTCCCGGGGGAACACACAGCATGTCTCAGGTTGGTGCAACGTCATGATGGCCTCTGCCGCCACAGGCTCGGACTGCATTCCGCACCCCGCCCTCCCTCCCTGCCCACCAGCCCCCACCCCCCGGCTTGAGTGAGCCATAGCCCCCTAATAAGCTACTCCTTTAACCCCATCTGGTCTGAGCGGGAACAGATGACCTCAGGCGACCTACATGCAGAGGCGGGGCCAAATCCAAAGCTGAACCCCAGGGGCTGTGCGAATAAAGAAGAGAAAGGGAAACCTCTCCCAGCAGCCTCAGGAGCAGCAGATTAAATCTTCACACTCAACTCGATGTATCCTGCATCTGTGGAATACCTGAATAGACAACGAATCATCCCAAATTGCGGTGGTGGATTTTTGGAGCAAGGATGTATATATTTGTTTGCCTTATTCTCATTTTGTGAGTGTGCATGTGTATGCTTCTGTGTGTGATTTTGTCTGTACAGCTTTGCTTTTACCATCTGTCCTAGGGTTCTGTCTGTCCATTTTTCTTAGTATAGTTTTTAGCACTTGTTACCATTGGTGGATTTGTTTTTTGGTTTGGTTGCTCTCTTCTTTCTTTCTTTCCCTTTTTTAAATTAATTTTTAATAATTATTTTTTGTTTTTATCTTAACAACTTTATTATATTTTTTCTTTGTTTCTTTCTTTGTTTCTTTCTTTGTTTCTCTCTCTCTCTCCCCCTCCCTCCCTCCCTCCCTCCCTCCCCCACTCCGCCCCCCCCTTCTTTCTTTCTTTTCTTCTCCCTTTTCTTCTTAGCCGTGTGGATGACAGGGTCTAGGTGCTCCAGCCAGGCGGCAGGCCTGTGCCTCTGACGTGGGAAATCTGAGTTCAGGACACTGGTCCACCAGAGACCTCCCAGATCCACGTAATATCAAATGGTGAAAAT